ACATGAGCATGAGCTTGGAAGTGCCTCATTCCCAGTGTGGCTGAGGATGACGGAGACATTGGTTGACACCTTGATTACACCCTTGTAATCACTCCTGGGCCAGAGGAGAAAGCTGTGGTGTGAGATAATACATGTCATATTAAAGCGTTAAGTTCCTAAGTCCCAGGATGATTTGTTATACAGCCATATATCTAACTAATACAATAATATTTACCAAAAGATATCCTAAGTACCAGTATACAGCATTAAAATCTACTTTTTGAATTGAATGGGAAAGAAATGGCTCTTTTCCGTTTTTCTCTATTCCAAGTCAAACACAGAAGTTGATACATACTAACATTGTTTCAAGATGGTACATTAGTTTCCTATTGTCACTGCAAAAATCATAGAGACATCTCTCTGCTTCTACTCTCATACTTCCTTCCTTCACCCTGGCTTATCTGATTCCTTCTTTGGTGTATATAGATTCATGTGCCACGTGGACTATCCAGGATAGTTTCTCATTGAGGTCAGGTTCCATTACTGTGACAAAATGCCTGAAAAAAATCAGCTTAAAAAGAGGAAAGTCTGTTTTGGATGATGATTTTAGAGGTGCTGGTTCGTGGCCAATTGGTTATGTTGCTTTTGGGTTTGAAGTGAGGTAGTGCAACTTGGCAAGTATGAGCTTCAGGGGAGGCTGCTCCCCTTGGGGCAGCCAGAAAGCAGAAAAAGAAAGAGGAGGAGGAGCCAACACCTCAATAGCCCCTTCACGGGCACATCCACTTCCACTACACACAACATCCTAAAGTTGCTCCCACTCAATAGCGCTATAGGCTGAGGACCAAGCTTTAATACATAGCCCTTTCAGTGCCATCCCAGATCTAAATCATAGTATCATCCATATCAAGAGCCTTGATTTACTTGCACCTGCAAATTTCCTCTCTCCCCCTCTCCCTCTCTCCTTCTCTCCCTCTCCCTCTCTTCCTCTCTTTTGCTCTCCCTCTCTCCATCTCTTCCTCTCTCTCTCTCTTTGAGACTGATTTTCATGTAGCTCAGGCTGACGTTGAATTCACTATGTGGTGAGATGTCCTTGAACTCCTGAACCTCCTGCCTCTGTCTCCACCTCCTGACTGATGGGATTAAATATCTACACCACCACACATGGTGCTTTTTTGCTGTCTTTTTGAGAAAGAGTCTCATGTAGACTAGACTGGACGAGAATTTGCTGAGGATGACCTTGAACTCCGAGTCTTCCTGCCTCCACCTCCCAAGTGTTGAAATTACATGAGTACACCTCCATACACAGCTGCGAAGTCCCTTTTGTCATGTGACACATTTTCAAGTTGTGAAAATTAGGATGTGAACATCTTGGGGGAGGGAGGACAGAGTATTAGATTATGCCTTGTCTAAAGATACTTTGATTGTTGATCTATCTGCACTATAAAGAGGAAAAGGCTCACAGAATGAAAAATTTCACAAACCATAACAGTTTTCCATTTTTAACATCCCAAATCATGCTTTAAAGTACCCAGAAGGAGAAGGGCTGCATAGAATGATGGAGAAAATTAACATAGGGCTAAAAGTTGACGCAGGCAGTCAGAAGACAAAGGAGACATGAAGACCAGAAGGCATAAGTTTCTTGGAATAGATTGATATTTTCCTAGAAATGCAAATTTATGTCCTCCATGATGAATGATAACAGTATTATCTGTACATCAGTTTACAACAAGAAAAGTCAGAGTGCCTTGAAAGAGATGGTAAAAGTCATAGTACAAAAAAGAGACCCTACTTATTCTTATTTTAGCCAAGAGTTAATGGGAAAAATGTGTAGCTGATGTGAAAGGAATCCGGTACTGTCAGAAACTCGACAAATTGGATTCTTTGTAAGTGATGCATTGTCCAGTTCAATTCCTGATATCAACTGTCTTCCAAATCACCACTGCATGAAACATCTGTTTTCTGCAAGATTAGCACAACCCAACGGAAACGTGCCTAGCCCAAAGGAAAGAAAGAGATGGTAAAAAGTGATTCTAATACTATTTATGGGAAGGAATTCAGATAAAACCTGGTAGGGTTCAGGAAGAATATTTCCAGGCTCCCTTAACTACCTTTCCCTCAGGACATAGCCATGTTCTTGGTATCAGAGGTGGGATGGTAGCAGTGCATGCTTCCATTTCTATCCAAGTAGTCCAGTAACAACACCAGCAAGTCAACATTAAATTAGACTGCTTATGCCAGAAGCCAAACACAACTCAGACGCCCATCTCAAATCCCTTTACCATGAGTAACAGCAGCATCAAAATATGATAAACTAAACGTGTCTGGGACCCAGCCAATGGGCCACACATTTTAAGGAATGTTTGATCAACAAAGCATCCAAATAAAATGAATATAAACAGTTCTTGGACATGTGATGGAATGTGACCTAGGAAAATGGTGAAGAAAAAGAGAGAAGGTGTGACATTGATTTAAATATGGTAAAAATAAAACTCAAACTGCATAAGTTGACACTCTAGTATATAGGAATGCAGACAGCCAAGACTGTTGAATCTACAGATAAGTAAATGCTCTCTAAAATTTCAACTAACTATGTCAGGCACCATATAGGAAAGAGTCATCCTTTTGGATTTGCTGCTTAATTCTATTGTGCATGGTCTCTCACAAGAGAAAAAGAGAGAGGGGGGGGTGGGGGTGGAGAGAGGGCTCAGTGGTTAAGAGCACTGGCTGTTCTTGCAGAAGACCCAGGTTTGAATCCTAGCACCCACATGGTGGCTAACAACTGTTCTTAACTCCAGTTCCAGGGGATCCGATGCCTTCTTCTGACCTCTGCAGGCATTACACAACATGGGTGCACTTACATACATGCAGGCAATAAACTCATACACATAAAACAAAAAATAATAAAGTATTTTAAAAGGGGAGAGACAAAGAGTGGCAGAGAGAGACAGAAAGAGACAGGGAGAGGGAGAGACTAAGACAGAGAGAACTTAGTATAACTGGACGTGATGTCTTGGAAAACAGATTCTTTTAGTCTCTTTTGGGGCTTACAACAGACATGTTTGAGGTGGTTTTACAGAGATGCAAAACTAGAGATATGCTTCTAAGCTACTTGCTTTTATATCCCTCCAAAATGTTTATGAATAGAAATTTCGGGTTTAGAATTCACAAAGAGAAAATAGAATACTAGAGCAACTGCACACATGGGCGAATGCCTGAACACAAAGCAAAACTGAACCTTTCCTGCTGGTAGGGTCTATATACTCATGTACGCTCAGGTCGGACCAACAGAAACTGATCATCACTAATTACCACATGACAATGACTGTTTACAATTAAACACAGTATTCCTGATTTCCACCTCCTGGAACCTGCCCCTTCAAAATGAATCCCTGAATGGAAAGACAGATACAATGGCATTTACTGCAGACTAGTTTTCAGCAGCTAAACACTAGGACCAATGTGACTGCCCATTGGTAGGAAATAGCTAAATCCATCATGGCAAACCACGGCATGGAATATCACTGTTAAAAAGAGTCATGAACAGACTGGGCAAGATTCCATGAGATACTATTCATTTAAAAAATACAAAATAGGGGACTGCGAATGTAACTCAGTTGGGAGAGTGCTTGCCTGGCAGGCACAAAGCCCTGCGTTCAATCCCCAGCATCACAAAAGCTGGATCCAGTGGTCATTCTTAGTTACATGGTGAATTCCAGGACAGGATGGGATACATGAGACCCTATCTCAAAAAAAAGTCAAAATGAATTTATAATATTATTGGATCTTATAAAACACTGACAAAACAATCCTCTGTATGTATAGGTCTATATGCACACATATGCACATAAATTGCAAAATTAAGTGTGGCTAAAACTATGGTAAGATTTAATTCCAGGTCAGATATGGGCTGTATACTATACCTTGCATGGAGGGAAGAGATTCTCAAAGGGAGCAAAAATCCATTGGAAGGAAGAAAACATCAGAAATACAAGCAAAATGGAAGAGTGTCACACATGACAGCACATGTGCTCTCATACGTGTCATAAAAATCACACAGAACACAGGCGCAGGCTTAAGTAAATTCATCTTCTAATTTTTTTATTTTATGTGTATGAGTGTTATGCTTGCATGTATGTAAGCACACTCGTGTTGTGCAGTGCCCACAGAGGTCATGAGAAGGTGTTGGATCCCCTGGAACTGCAGTTATGGGTGGTTGTTAGATAACAAGTGGGTGCTGGGAACTGAACCCAGCTCTTCTGCAACAGCAGCAAGTGCTTTTAACCACCAAGCCATCTCTCTAGCCCTTATTAATCTATTTCTTTTCTGTACTTAAAAGCAGCCAGGATGAAACATAAAACAATAAACTAAACATTATGTCTGAAGTTGAGGCCTACTGCCCTTGAGTATAATTTTTTCTTTGTTGTTTATTTTAGGGTTTGGGGGGTTTAATTTTGTTTGTTTGTTTCTGTGCTGGGGATAAAACTCAGGGTCGTTTCCTTGATAGGCAAGCACTCTATTACTGAACAACACCTTCAGTCCAAACCATTTTAGATATTAAATAGATCTTAAATACTGGGGAGTTTTCAAATTAGTCTTTGGATTCAGATATCAACTTTAAGGTTAGCATTCCATAACTAAACCCATGTTAAGAAAAATCTGTATCTCAATCAGGTACGCACTGTGTGCTAGTGAATTGGGGTCAGGTCAGGAGACATGTGGATTTCACTTTCTCCTACCTCATCTGTTAAATTTTGATATGGTCTTAAGCAAGTAGCTAATTGATTGTGACTGAGTGTCCAACCTCTAAATTGAGAAGTGCAGCCCAGAAAGGTAGACCTTAACATTCTCTGAATTCTTCTTTTCTTAATTTGAAAGGCTCCCGCAATATTTGCTAATTTAAACACAATTCAACACAAAGTTTCTAGAATATCACGCAAAAGTTAGCATTTCTAAGAATACAGTCCTTCAGGCTTTGGTTTGTTTGTCCTGATACAACTCCCGAATCCCAGAACCCACTATACCTTTAGGAATAGACTGGGAATGCTTTGCGCCTTGGTCCAATTTGAAGTCCAGATATAAGGTTGGTGTGCGAGTATAAATCTTGGACTGAAAAGAAAAAAGAAACTGTCAGTAGTTTTCTGAGATTAAGGTTCTTTTCAAAATTTTGTTTATTTTTGTGTGTGCACGTATGTACGGTATGTGTTTATATGTGAAGCCACACGTTTACTACACTATGTGTGTGATGGTTGAAAGACAACCTCAGGTGTTGGCCCCTGCTTCTCCCTATTTGAGCCAGGCTCTGTCTTGTGTGCTGCTGCTCTGCGTACTCCACGACAGGTGGCACTCAGGCTTTCAGAGGATACTCTTGCCTCTGCCTCCCATCTCAAGACAAGAGTTCTGGGATTACAGACATGGGCCACTACATCTGTCCAGCTTTTACGAGGAGTTCAAGGATCTGAACTCAAGTTGCCAGGTTTGAACTGCGAGTGTTGAGCCATGTCCTCCCACCTATGGGACCATATCCTTGGTCCCAGGATAAGGTTCTTTACTTAAACTTAGCCCTTCTGCAATAGGCCTGTTTTTATAGTTCCTACTGGTTTTACAATATGATCACCAAGCTAATTTCAACATGACATTCTCCCTCCCTACAACTCCAATGGCCCAATGTTAATTTTGAAATTGTTCCAACTATCACTTTTAGTCTTAATGGTTGGTATGACAGGTTATCTCACACCCAACTGTGTTTATTACATAGGATTTGATTAATCCATTTCCATTTTCAAATTCTAAAAAGGGACCTGTACATATTACTTTGCCCCATTTGGCCCTCTTGAAAAAATAATTTTTTTTAGACCCACTTCCCAGGTAGCACCCTCCCATAGCCTCCCTCCCCCCACTAGAGCCATAATACTCTGATATCCCTGCTACTGTCTGCTGTGTTGTCAGCACCCCCAGCCATTCCCCGCTACTTGCCCTTCTGGTGAATCTAGTCAGCCTATCTAGAGGGCTTTGTTTTAGGAGGGTCAGCTGTTCATCATCTAGCGGTATTCAGTTGTCCATATTCCTTTGGATAAGATTGGGGTCTGCTGTTCAATTTCCCAGTTCTATGCTAAGTTACTATCTTGGAATCCCTTTGGCCACCCTGGTTATATTTTCCTTTTGGGTGTTTAATGCCATACAGTTGGTCCAGATAAACCGATTTATTTTTACTCTTAAGGTCGTTTGAGGATCTGTTCCTCAGGGGTCACATGGGCTTGGGAGGAGCCCCTGGCTCCTTTCTTATACTAGTTCCGCCTATATAAAGATAAGTCAAAGGTCCTGCTTGACCATAGTTGGCTTCACTTGGAAGCATGGAGGAAATGATTCCTCTGTGTTGACCCTCCTCTTTATAGGCTGGACACTGATTCAAGTCCATCTGGTGGGGTCTCCTTGGCCTCCTTGATCAAGAGGTCAGATGACCC